TCAGATAATAAAATAAATAAAATCTTAAAAAAAAAAAAAAAAGAAAAGAAAATCACTAGAGGGGGGCACCTGACAGAACAGTAACATGATGCAGCTTCCACTGAACAGGATCACTCTGGATGCTGTGTTAAGTTTAGAACGAAGAGGGCATGGGCAGAATCAGGGGGACCAATTAAGAGAACCATGGCAAAGTGCAGGTGAGAGATGATGGTGGCTTGGATCAAGGTGGTGGCAGTGGAGGTGGGAAGAAGTGGCTGGACTTCAGATAGGAAGCATCCTGAGGGTAAAGCTAGTGGGATTTGCTGATGGTGAAGAAAAAAAGGAGTCAAGGATGATGCTGTTTTCAGCCTGAGCACCTAGAAGGGTGGGAAAGACAGCAGGAGGAAGTACTGAGGAGCGGGAGGACATACGGGAACTTAGTTTTTAGACATACAGAGTTTGAGGTGCCAATTACAAATCCAACTAGCAGTTGGACAGATGAGTTTGCAGTTTAGCAAGTAGTCCAGGCTAAAATATACACCTGGGAATCATCAGCAACACATGAACACATGGGATGATAAGCCGAGAGACCAGGTGAGAGTCCCTAAGGAAGTGTGTGTATTTGGGACTCAGGATGAGCCTGAGAAGTGGTGACAAGTAAGATAAGAACAATTAGGCGTGGTGTCTGAGAAGCTAGGAGAAAAACGTGTTTCAAAGAAGACATGACAAGTGGTGTCAAATGCTAATTCCGGATGAGGACTGAAAATTCACCACGAGTTTAGCTAGGTTAAGGTCACTGGTGACCTCGAGAGAAGCAATTCCAGTGAGGCAATGGGGATGAAAAAGCTTACTGACATGGGCTTAAGGAGGAAAAATTTGAAGACAGCAAATATAGACAACTCTTTTGAAGAGGTTTGCTGTAATTGGGGAGGAGAGAACTGGAACCGGGGACTGGGTTCAATAGAGTATTTTAAAAGCGGAGCAAAAACCACACTTCTATGCTATTAGGAGAAAAACTCTTATAGCGAGAAAAATAGAAAATATGTAAGAGGTTAGAATTACTGGAGTGATGTTCTTTTTTTTTTTTTTTTTAAGATTTTATTTATTTATTTTGACAGAGAGAGAGAGACAGCGAGAGAGGGAACACAAGCAGGGGGAGTGGGAGAGGGAGAAGCAGGCTTCCTGCTGAGCAGGGAGCCCGATGCGGGGCTCGATCCCAGGACCCTGAGCCGAAGGCAGACGCCTAACGACTGAGCCACCCAGGCGCCCCTGGAGTGATGTTCTTAAGAAGGTTCGAGAAGGAATGGGATTTAGGACTCAAGTGGAGGGTTTGGATTTTGCTAGGAATAGGGAGAATTTATTCATTGTAATGGGAGGGCAGGAGAGGTAGGAATGAAGAAGTAATGGTGGAAGTTTTCTAATTGTTTCTACTTTCTTGGTGAGACAAGAAGTTCATCAGCTTTGAGCGGGACAGAAGGACGTTAAAGGAGAAGGTGGCAAAGTTAAAGGCCCACTGAGGTTAGTGATTATGAATTCAAAGCCTAGAAGTCCAACACCCCTGCCAAACTAGTTCTGTGGGATGGAAGAACTGGCATTTTGGAAAAGAATGCACTGGGTGGAAGAACTTGGGAGTATTTTGGTATCTCGCTGTAAGTGAATATGTTTGCATTCTGGTTTTATACATTAAAAAAGAAGTTCCAAGTGTTGATGAATGGTTAAGGCAGGTGCACGTTCATCCTGATTCTAAAACTGAAAACTCTATGTCTCCCAAGACACTGCTTCAAACACCTCCTGCCCCAGAGCCTGACCAGTAAGAGCGAGCACCGGACTTGAGGAGAGGAGACAGGGGTTCACAGACTAGCAGTCTCCTTGTCTGTTTCTCCCTCTGTAAACAGCTGACAAGCTAAAATTCAATTTTGGGAATCCACCTCAAGGGTTCATATTTGCACAGACCACCAACAGCTTTGATGAGAAATGATGGATCAGCAGAAGTTTAAAGGGCAGGCTGGAAAAGGAAGAGCCAGGAATAAAAAGTTATATTTCAAAACCCCCATATCTCTCGTTCTGTTGTGGGGGCTTAAAGAATTTCCCAATTCATGCCACCGGGCCTAGTCTGAACCTGGCCCGTCCCAATTCCACCTTTCTGAAACTGCGTTGATTTAAAGTCGGGCTTCATATCCTTATTCTTGAGTTGGGATCCAAGCAGTACACTGCAAACATTTCAAAGTCCCTACATCCCAAATCTCGAAATTTGGTTTAATTCGTCGTCTCCCAACCACCAAGAGGTCTGATCTAGGGAAGGGGAAACTTGGAAGCGTTCCCTTTTGGGTTCTAGGGGGCTGGGAACACGGAGCGGGAGGTGGGCCTCGGCTGGGGTCCGGGGCGGGGGCGAGGGACTCACATTTCTCGGTCAGAGCCTCCTCGCAATCTACGTCGAAGATCTGCAACTCTTCCAGCAGGCGCTGGGCGGACACACTCATGGTGACCCAGGGGGAGGCCGGGGGCCCGGCCCACCGAGCTCGAACCTGAATTCAAGGACCTCACGGCGTGGAGACTGATGGGCAGGACGAGGTTCCTCGGATCCTTTCCCCCTCACGGAGACCGAGACGGAAGAAGACCAAATGGCCCAAGCCCTCCGGCGGTCAGAAGGCCCCCGGCGTCAGTCACGGAGAAACACTTCTTTCTAATGTGGGAGGAGCCCCCAAACGCCCGAAGGAAGTAAGCGGAAATCTCGTTAACTCCCTCTTCTGCAGAGAACGTCCTGCTCCCTAAAAGCTACCGCGGAGCATCTCAACGACTGGAACAGAACAGAGCAACCAGGAAAAACCCGCCAAATAGTTTGCACGGCACGCGCATGCGCGAGCCGGGTTCAACCCCACCCCTTCCCCTCTGCTTCCTTCTCGTTCCCAGACGCCGCGCGCCCTTGCGCGTCCAAGGGCGCATGCGCAGAAACGCTACTACGCCCGCTCGCGCGACCGCGGTCCGGTCCGCCTCCCTTTTGGCGGGTGCGCAGTTGTGTCTCGTAAGGCGCGAAAGCTGGGTCTGGTGCGCGACTTCCTTAGCTCGCATCACCTGAATCGCCTCTCGGTGCCCGGCGCGGTTACCTGTATATCGGGCACCGCCTGCTGGCGAAGCTCCGTGACGAATGTTCGTCACCCTTTCGTCCTGTGCGTTGGTGCGCAGGCGCTGTTACGTATACACCCGCAAACCTCCCAAAGCTGCTGTGCACAGCGCACGTCGTTGCTTCTCTGACCCCGTCGACGTGCGTCTGGGACAAGCTGGTAACCATTGATGATAACCAACCAGATTCCCTAACGAAACCACGCTCTTAAGATAAGCGAGGGCACGTTAGGTTTGGGTGCATTTGGGATTTCCCTGTAGAAGTTCCCAGTGGACGACTGGAAACTTGGGAGTGAAGATGGTTCACTAAGAGGGAGAGAGTGGAAGTAAAATGAAAAGGTGGCCTTCCCCATGAAATACCTCCTAAGTCTTTGAGCCACAATCTCTGGCTCAGCTTAGGTCAATAACCTTGGACATGCTCCCCTAATGGGGTGATAATACTGGTAGAATCTTTCTAGAAAAGTTTGGCAGTATATATGAGGAGACTTAAAGATGTTCATTTGCTCTTGACTCAGCATTTCTTATCCTAAGAAAACCAGCCAAAATCCAGACGAAGTTTTATGTACGAAGATGTTTGTGGTAGCCACATTTACAATATTAAAAATGGAAACTGTTGGAACATCCAAAGATAGGGACTGACTAAGGAAAGTATGGGGTTTTACCAAAGCAGTGATTCTCAAGACTGCACGAGAGGTCAAGGACTTCTAGGGGACACCTCAGGGAATGAGACGAGGGACAGGGGCCTGGCAGAGCCAGAGCACCCTGTCTTAGCCTCGGTCAGGCGGCGTGGAGCAGAGTTTAGTCTGTTTCCCTATTCAAGGGCTGGGTGGAGAGGGAAAATCCTCATTCTACCCTAAGGCCTCTTACTGGTGGGTACAGAGGGCAGAGGGTAGGAGTGGTCCTCCTGGGTACAAGCAATAAAGGGTGTAATAGTTTTCTATTGTTACATAATGATTCATCACAAATTTAGTGGCTTAAAACAACATCCACTTATTAGCCCAAGGTTCTATAGATCAGATGTCTGGGCACAGCATGTCTTCATGTCTCCGTTCCCAGCTCCGTGAGGCTGAAATCAAGGTGTTGGCCAAGATGAATTCCTTTCTAGGGGTTTCTTCAACCAGCCAGAGGAACTCTGTTTTTAAAAGTCTCATGTTAGGGACGCCTGGGTGGCTCAGTCGGTTAAGCGGCTGCCTTCGGCTCAGGTCATGATCCCAGGGTCCTGGGATTGAGTCTCACATCGGACGCCTGGCTCAGCCAGGAGCCTACTTCTCCCTCTCTCTCCCTCTGCTTGTGCTCTCTCTGTCTGTCAAATAAATAAAATCTTAAAAAAAAAAAAAAAGAAAAAAAAGTCTCATGTTATTAGGTCAAGTCCACACAGATCATTTCCCTCTCTTAAGGCCAAATGATTTGGGGCTATAATTACATCTACGAAACACCTTTACAGCAGTGCTAGATTAGTGTGAAGAGGGCAGTCTTTACATGAAAAGACATTGACTCAGTAGAGCCTAAGAAAGAAAAATAAAAAGCAAAAGAGGAAGTTATCGAATGTCTGGAACTATTTTGAAACATGTAAGGCCTTCCATGTTGGGTATAGTTTCATTTCATGATAAAAATAAATGCTAAAAATAATGTAGTAGAGAAGAGGAGGATTTAAATCATCTGCTCTGGGTGTCAAATAGACTAGGTCTGACACCAACTCACGTCTCTGTCAATCCTTTCCTGAATTAGTAGTTGCCTGTTACTATCTGGAGGTGGGTGATGGGGCCGATTATCAAAAGACTGTCTCTGGTGTTTTATAGGAAGCTTTCTTTTTTTTTT